AAATAAATAAAGGACAAACGGGGTCTTCAAATGCCTCAGATGTAAAGTTATTCGCTGTCAAAGTGACGCCAAAATGAATGGGAGTCAATGGGAATGCTAACGCAAGTGAAGTTTTGCTTCAAGATGGCAGCTCCAACGAGGCTTCAGCTTCCGGTCGATGGATTACCCCCTTGGTTTTCTCAGTATCAATCACGCTGATCGCTTTCTTCATCCAGTCGGCTCATGTTGTCATGAAATATGTGTATTTGAAAGCACAGGTAGCCTTCTGTGTGTACCATCTTCACTTCTTTGCTGGCTTTCTTCACTTGGGCTTTATTCCTGTGCCCTGAACAGCTGATCAGAGTTGTGTCTGTCACTAAAACACAGCCGACAGACGGCCATCGGCTTGGTGCGTCACGGCCCTGATGTTGCCGAATGACAGTTACACAGGACGTTGTGTGTGTGTTGATGAACTCGATCTACTCCACCTGTGTTTTCATCATCGCTCCGAATCCCATCCCAACAAAGTCTTTGACAAGATTTCTCATGTTGTTTATGAAACTTACATTCAAAAGAATGGATGAAGCTAAAATAACATGCTCTTCTTTTGATATAGCGACTGTTTACATATTCAGACAACAACAGGAGCCATGAAACTTCTGTGGATATGATCAAAAATGCAGCGCTGGATGGCAACTTAAAAAAAAAAAAAAAACCCGCTAGCAGGGAAAGAGTTGAAACACTGTGCCTGAATATATATATATATATATATATATATATATTGTATATACCCTATCAGAAAGTGCTTCTCTGGATGTGTGTCCAGTAAATACCCTATAATTAAAGGGTTAGTTCACCCAAAAATGAAAATTCTGTCAGTATTTACTCACCCTCATGTTGTTCCAACCCCGTAAGACCTTCGTTCATCTTCACAACACAAATTAAGATATTTAAGATATTAAGATCGCTCCTGCATACAGTCCATAGGCTTCTTGAGGGAATGACTCTTGCTGGCCTCGAAAAGTCATTAAAGACATCGTTAAAATAGTCCAAGTGACTACAGTGGCTCAATCTTAAGTTTATCAAACGACGAGAACACTTTTGTGCGCAAAAAAACAACAAAAATAACGACTTTATTTCAACTATTCGTTTATTTCTCCCTCTGCGCGAGTCAGGTTACTAGTTTAATAGCGTAAGCTTCTGTTATTGTACGTCACACGCATCACACACGTGACCAGCGTCGGCCAATAGTGAGCCTACGTGTGACGTAGCTCTACGCAATCACACTACGTTAACTGACTACAGGCTCATGGAGAAGGAAGTGAATAATTGAAATAAAGTCGTTATTTTTGTTGTTGTTTTTGCGCACAAAAGTGTTCTCGTCGTTTGATAAACTTAAGATTGAGCCCCTGTAGTCACTTGGACTATTTTAACGATGTCTTTAATGACTTTTCGAGGACAGCAAGAGCCAGTCCCTCAAGAAGCCTATGGACTGTATGCAGGAGCGATCTTAATATCTTAAATATATTAATTTGTGTTCCGAAGATGAACGAAGGTCTTACGGGGTTGAACAACATGAGGGTGAGTAAATACTGACAGAATTTTCATTTTTGGGTGAACTAACCCTTTAACATAATATTAACAGCAAAGTAAATGTAATATTGTTTTAAAACTCTTTATTTTTGCATTTTACTTTTGTTTAAACAAACACACAGCCACCTGCTTCCCCGTCACACATGTAGTGATGATTGACAGCTGATCGAGACTCGAGAAGACACACAAATACACACACACACTGACAGATCATCCTGCTGCTGACTCACATATCTGTTCTGTGCTGTGAGTGTGACTGCATCAGCGTCTATATGAGCACACACACACACACACACACACACTGCAGTCTAGAACGACCGTGAGAGTGAAAGTAATAATGGCGACAGGATGTGACACACTCTTCACTGGAACACAATCCAATATGTTGAGCAATATGAGGATGTATAAATCACTGCACACCACATCTCTAACACACCAGACCGTGTGTGTACAGTGTGAATCACAGGTGTGTGTGTAAGGGGTTAACGAAGCTTGTGTTTGAGTCTCTGACTGAGAAGACTGCGCTCTCCGTGATCTCTGTAAATGAGTAACCGTGTCTGGCACACACTGTGTTTCCATGCTACACTGATGGCATCTATGCTATAAACTACAGCATGAATCACATATTGCTTTCATATACCGGTAATACGTTCCCTGTGTCATCATGCCATGACTTTAGTTGTACTTCTAATGCCATGTGTGTGTTAGTTTGTAGTTCCCTGTGTTGATTAGCCTGGCCGTTGCAGTGTGTCCTGCTAGCTTGTTTTGTGTTTGCTTTGTTCTTTATCAACGGTTGAATGTGTGTAGAGGGTGTGTGTGCTCGTGTTCCCTGTGTTTTTAAGTTTTGCTTAATCTCTTCCGCTCATGCTTTCATTACAATACCATTCATGTGCATATTTTTCATAATCATGTTACACAATGCGTCAGTGTTGTAGTACTCGAGACTCGGACTCGTCTCGGACTCGGTCTCGAGACCATATTTTAATGGTCTTGGTCTTGTCATGGACTCGTGTCCATTTGGACTCGGAATTGACTCGTACTCGAACATTTTTTTTTTTAGGACTCGGAATTATTCCCAAGTCCACTCGAGTTCAATTCAAAATATTTTTCATGATTATTAATGTATGTTAATAAAATATTTCTTTAAATTGATTGACACGCCCAGTGATTGGTGATTTTCTAGTGCGCAACTGCGCATGACAAATTGTAATAAAATTACTTTTAACACCACCTTCTATGTGGCCTTTTTACCCTAAACTGATCATATTTTTTAAACTCCAAGTAAATTCAGTAAAAAAAAAAATTATTTACTTTTATTTACTTTCTCTAAGTAAATAAAAAAGTAAATTAGGTAATCAACCCTCACTGGTCTCGGTCTCGACTCGGACTCGACCGTCTCTGGTCTCGGACTCGACTCTCTCTGGTCTCAGTGTCGACTCGGACTCGAGTGAAGTGGTCTCGACTACAACACTGCAATGCGTCATATAAATACTTTTTCAATAAATATCTGCACTGTAAAAAATATATATATTTTCAAGATTTTTTGTCAAATCAACTTAAATAATTTATTTAGTTGAGAACTTATTATGTTATGTTTCTGATGATTAAATGAACTCACTTTTTCTAGATCAATTAACTTAAAATTTGAAGGCAACCAGGTTTCTTACTTTTTTTAAGTTAAAACAACAATATTTTTTACAGTGTGTGATCAAAATGAAAATCCTATCATGTTTGCAATAAAAAAGTATGACTAAACATAATGTGTTCACATTATGAATTTTTACGTTTTCAATTCTTTTCGATTCCTAATTTCGCTTCCTATAAGGTAAAAGAAACACTTTAGTCTTATTGCAAAACATTTAATTGTAGCTGAATCAACAGGTTGAAGAACACTTACACAAGGAGCGTTTGCCTGTGGGTTAAAAACACCATCGAAAAACAACTAGACTAACTAATGTGGGGACCAAGGTGTATTTGGGGTCCTTGAGATGTTCTGACATGTCCTGACATTTGTACTTTTTTTCAGTTGCTTAATGGCACATGTGAAATTACACTTTATTTAGCACAAACAGGGCTACCGTAATATGTGAGCAACATGTATGTTTATTGTATATTGTTTATGCGTGGTTATTGAAAAAAACTAAAAATGAAAGGTTCTGAAATAAGGCCACAAAACACAAACGCAATATGCGTCCACCAGACTTTTGACTAATGGATGTTGTGGCCTAGAGTTTTTTCTTCACAATGATCTGAAAATCATCCTCCTAATCGTTCACATAGACTAACTAATTTACATTTCAGTCATTATAAAAGACAAGTAAACATTAATAGTTCAAAAAATAGCAATCACAACATATACATCTGAAATAAACAGTGTTTTAAGATTTTCAGGTATTCAGAAAAGCTGTAATCAAATATAAAATAACTGCACTTTATAAATGAAATATACATTACAAATATAGTTGCAAAAGTCAGTGAATTTTCTCTGTCTTTTGTTGTTTGATTAGAGTTATTATAGAGACGGCAAAGGGAATATTAGGCTGCTGTCACTTTAAAGGAGTAGTTCACTTTAAAAAAAAAAAAACAACTTTTGCTGATAATTTACTCACCCCCATGTCATCCAAGATGTCCACGTCTTTCTTTCTTCAGTCGAAAAGAAATTGAGGTTTTTGATGAAAACATTCCAGGATTTTCTCCATATAATGGACTTCAATGGGAACCAAACGGTTCAAGGTCCAAATGACAGTTTCAGTGCAAACTGTTCAAAGTGCTTTAAACGACTCCAGACGATGAATAAGGGTCTTATCAAGCGAAACGATCGCTCATTTAATAAATAAATAACAAAGTTTAAGTTTTATAAGCTCAAATGCTCACCTTGCTCTGTTCTGTGATGAGCTTTCGTGACTCTCCTGTTCGAACTAGTTCATCAAAATGAATGAATCTTTTGAAACGAATGAAATGAACGATTTGACTCGGGAAAAGTTTCGTTCATTCAAAAACCTTAATTTCTTTTCGACTAAAGAAAGAAAGACATGGACATCTTGGATGACATGGGGGCGAGTAAATTATCAGTAAAAGTTTTTTTTAAAAGTGAACTACTCCTTTAAGAGTTTCATGGATCCAATATACTGTTACACACGCCTGAAGCACTGAAAACTGTGTTAAAGTCAATTAATCGATGAAGTATCCAATTCCAGAAATGGAATTGATTTTTTTTTTATTCCCAACCCTCGGTCACGTGGGAGATGTATGAGGAAATGTGTAAAACGGGTTATATTTTTAAGTGGACTTGTCAGTTATTAATGAAAAATAAAATCTGTGTGTTTTCATTAGTGGTCACAGACTTTTTGTGTGTGTCCATCTCGCCTACATGAAGTCCTCAACAGTGTACTGATAAAGTTGTTTCATATATAATGTGTCTCCTGTAGGCGGCTGCAGCTTCGATGACGGCCCAGCTCAGTGTGACTACCAGCAGGACCCTTACGACGACTTCGACTGGACACACGTCAGCGCTCAGGAGGTGCCGTACCTGCCCTCTGACCTGCCCCAGGGTGAGTCTCACACACACACACACACCTAGACCCCATCACAGTGTCCTCGCTAACCTCATCTGAGGCAAGAACACACGTGTGAGAATGGAAACACTGGGTTTATCTGGGCTTGTTTAAACAGTGAGGCAGATTTGGGAATGTTTTAATGGGCTGCTAACATTTGAACAAATTTGCAGCGGCGTCTTATCGTGTCAGGGTAAAAGCCATTACCGAAGTTGAGAGAAAATAGGCAGGTAACAGAACATTAATCTTCCTTCAACTGCTCTCCGAACACTCCTCCGGATGGGATCTGAAAATACTTTGCCATTTACATGACAAAAAACGCGCAAAGTGCCGAAGGCGGAAAAAAGGCTTTGGTCAAAGGACTGTCATACGTGACACAATTAATCTTTTTAAATGCGCTCAAAGAAGACGCGAATAAGAGGGGAGAGCGGAGCGTTGCGACCTTCACTTTTCACCTCTCCGACGCTTAATCACTCGCTTTCAGACAGGAGATTCTGCTCAGGGAAATTAAAGCATTTCACTCTCAGCTAAATTCCCTAATTAATAAGATATTAAGTTATTAATCAATGCAGGAGAACAGAGAAGGTCGTCAGCCCTCGCTTTCAGTCAGGTAGAGCTTCACTCGAAGAGGACCTGAAGGAGAACATCACAGCTTTGGTCAGGCTTTTAGGATAATAGCTGGTGCGTCTCGCTTCAGGCGTCCGGTTGACCAACGCATTTGAGAAAAGGAGCAAAATGATCAGTTGGTATATTTTCATGCGTTTGTCGAGGTTTATTCATTGCTGTATGTGTGTGTGTGTGTGTGTGTGTGTGTGTCTCATCTAAAGTCGAGAAAGATTGGGCATTTATGTGATTTCAGGGAATCAACAGAAATGCATTTTCAGCAGAAAGATAGATTGGGAAACCGAGAGGGATGGAAAGGGAAAATACACAGAGAGATGGACAGAAAGAGGGAGAAATGTGGACAGAAATAAAAATGGGAAAGAGAAGAGGACAGAAAGGGAAAAGAGTGAGAGATAAAAAAGACAGACAGACAGACAGATAGATAGATAGAAAGACGGACAGACAGATAGATAGATAGAAAGACGGACGGACGGACGGACGGACGGACGGACGGACGGACGGACAGATAGATAGACAGACAGAAAGATAGACAGACAGACAGACAGACAGACAGACAGAAAGATAGACAGACAGATAGATAGATAGATCGACAGACAGACAGATAGACAGAAAGATAGACAGACAGACAGACAGACAGATAGATAGATAGATAGATAGATAGATAGATAGATAGACAGACAGAAAGATAGACAGACAGACAGATAGATAGATAGACAGACAGAAAGATAGACAGACAGATAGATAGATAGATCGACAGACAGACAGATAGACAGAAAGATAGACAGACAGACAGACAGACAGACAGATAGATAGATAGATAGATAGATAGATAGATAGATAGATAGATAGATGGATAGATAGACAGACAGACAGAAAGATAGACAGACAGATAGATAGACAGACAGAAAGATAGACAGACAGATAGATCGACAGACAGAAAGATAGACAGACAGACAGACAGACAGACAGACAGACAGACAGACAGACAGATAGATAGATAGATAGATAGATAGATAGATAGATAGATAGATAGATAGATAGATAGATAGATAGATAGATAGATAGATAGATAGATAGATAGATGGACGGATGGACAGATAGATAGACAGACAGATAGACAGATAGACAGACAGAAAGATAGACAGACAGACAGACAGACAGACAGACAGACAGACAGACAGACAGATAGATAGATAGATAGATAGATAGATAGATAGATAGATAGATAGATAGATAGATAGATAGATAGATAGATAGATAGATAGATAGATAGATAGACAGACAGACAGACAGAAAGACGGACGGATGGACAGATAGATAGACAGACAAACAGACAGACAGACAGACAGACAGACAGACAGATAGATAGATAGATAGATAGATAGATAGATAGATAGATAGATAGATAGATAGACAGATAGGCAGACAGACAGACAGATAGATAGATAGATAGATAGATAGATAGATAGATAGATAGATAGATAGATAGATAGATAGATAGATAGATAGATAGATAGATAGATAGATAGATGGATAGACAGATAGACAGACAGAAAGATAGACAGACAGAAAGACAGACAGACAGACAGACAGACAGAAAGATAGACAGACAGACAGATAGATAGACAGACAGACAGATAGATAGATAGATAGATAGATAGATAGATAGATAGATAGATAGATAGACAGACAGACAGACAGAAAGACGGACGGATGGACAGATAGATAGACAGATAAACAGACAGACAGACAGACAGATAGATAGACAGATAGACAGACAGACAGATCGATAGATAGATAGATAGATAGATAGATAGATAGATAGACAGATAGACAGGCAGACAGACAGATAGATAGACAGACAGACAGACAGATCGATAGATAGATAGATAGATAGATAGATAGATAGATAGATAGATAGATAGATAGATAGATAGATAGATAGATAGATAGATAGATAGATAGATAGATAGATAGATAGATAGATAGATAGATAGATAGATAGACAGGAGAAAGCAAGACTGATGGAAGGGAAGAGGCGAGAAGAAATATAGACGGGAAAAATGAGATAATGGAGAGAGAGAGAAATGTGGACAGAAAAGACAGAGAGATGTATCATTACAGAACATGTTTTATACACGTGTTGTGGTGATGCGTTTCCCCCATAATTCCCGGCTCTCAGTGCCGCCTGGTGCTCAGTTCTCGAGGGAGTCGTTTGGACGCTGCAGTGAGTGGCGCGCTGAAACAGGACGTGAACACGAGTCTCCTACAGGGAGAGATGTGGAGTTATGCTGGATTAGCACACAAGCGGTCCACGCTAGCTCTGTTTTCCGTATCGTTCTGCCTCGAGGGAAGCTCACACCGAGTGTTTCCAGTAACAAAAAGGCTGAAAGTCGCTCATTCTCTGAAGGCCACAGTCGTGAAGACGCGTTAGACGGGAAGTTGCTGTGGAATACAGACACTGAAGCTCATGATGGGTTTGGGAAAAGGCCTCCAAATGCAGCTTTATGGTGGAATAAATGGTGGACAGTTCCTTAATAATTGCAGAGGACACAGACATAGCTGGCGTAAACGTCGAGTGGAGCTCTTCATGAAAGCGCTCAGATGTAAAATTGGGGCGTCTCAGCTGAGGACACTGGGATCCGCCTCATGGATCGGCCTCGGGATGTGTATGCACACACACGCTACGTAACACCTAATGAAGCCTCGCTCTCTCGCCTTCACATGAGGAGCGTTTGGTGAGGTCTGATGACTTCTGGGAGCATGTAACGGCTCGGGACGGGTGTACTTCATTTCACGTCTTCAAAGTACACTCAAACAGTCAGGATGAGCACGGGTTCGACACAGACACCAGAGGGCAGCACTGAGTCCTGCCGTTTACTGGACGTTCACTCGGAAGGATAGAAGCAGAAAAGTAGCGGATCCGCTGTGGTGAAGAGATGAGTCCCACCTTAGGACCCAAGCGATCCGATTGGTTCAAAGTAGAGCCAGACCGATATATCGGCAGACCGATATTATCGGCCGATATTAGGCATTTTCCATAATATCGGTATCGGCAGTTATAATGGCCGATAAATGAATACTTCAAAAATAAAATAAAAACGGACAAAACACGCTTGAACCCTGTCTAGCTAACCACAAAGCTAGCTAATGCAACTCCCATCAGTCTGTTCTGTTGTGACAATAAAAGAAAGTTTCATTTTAAAATGCATTAGCATATTATTTTAGTTAAAACTCATCAATAACTACAAATAACTAATGTTAGGGAAATCTGTTAATGTTGTGTTGCGTGTTTCTGAAAAAAAACATCTATATATATCGGCCGATATATCGGATTTTTAAAACCCAAAAATATTTGTATCGGTATCGGCCTTCAAAATCCTTTATCGTTCGGGCTCTAGTTCAAAGCTAGTTTTATGGGTAAACGCTTTAGTGCCTGGTTACAAATAGAGAAAATCAGTTTATTATAAAAGACGTTTGAAGTACGTTATAAGGAGTCCTTAATGTATTTTAACTTATATGTTTCATATACTAGTATATAACCGAAGCTGTAGATTGTAAATTTAAACATTTCTCGTTCTTATTGTTTTTTAGTTAGCTTACATAGTAGCATAGCATTTATCCGCGGCAAACGTCAGAATGACTAGCCGAGTTAAGGCTGTTCTAGGCGGGCTAGTTAGATATGCTGCTGATCCCTGGTTCTGACGACTCCGAAAACGTCAGAACAATGTTTTAAAAAGGTGCAATCTTTATAAATAAAGCACAGATTTGAGCTTTAAACAACTATATTCTCGACTTAAAGGTGGAATACGTAAGATTTTTGCATTAAATTATACCAAAATCACAAGGCCAGTGTTATATATTTAGTTAAGATGATAACTTACAATAGTCCAAATGTTTCAAACAATGTTTAAATCGCGAGAAAATTTATATTGTAACCAAGGAAACGGGGCGTGTGAGCAGGGGTGAGCTGGGAGTCGCCAGTCAATCGCGTCATATCCACGTTACCTCGGTTTCCGCTCGTACTACGTGTAGTCCTGGACAAATGCGGAAGTTGTAGTTGTGCGTTAGCGTCTATCAAGCAACAAACGTCAGCTTGTTTCGCGCATTTATTATGGAATGGAGCACAATTATTATCACACTATTGTTATTCAAGCAGCTGATTTCTGTAAATGACTGCAAAACTAAATGCATATTGCAGCATAGGGCGAAGTCAGGATCCATTAGCAACGATTTGAGACAAAAATAAGTCACTTCGTCCAGTGACTCGTATAGTAACGTCTGTGATAAGTAGTTTACTTTTAAACCTGACTTTTCTTGCGGTTATTTCAGTTTAATGAAAAACAAGCATTTTATTAAACGCAGCATTTATA